CTGTCTGATAAGTCAGTGGAATTTGACAGAGATTTTGCACAGCCATCAAAGGAGGACAATGATTGCCATGGTGTGGTTGGAGAAAAGTTTCATCTTGCAGAGGGTACATCAGGTGCATGTTGCATATCACTAATGTATATAGGATTGGGCACAAGTATTCAAACAATTTTTCTTTGCTTTCAAATCATTTTCAGTACAAAAATTCAGGATCTACTGTTAAAATATTGAAAATGATTCGAGGCATCCTCAATTCACAACTGGTAATTTATTATTTGATGTACTAACATATTTAGTTTATGGGGTTGAGGAATTGTTTGACTTTTTGAAAAGGGTGATGGTATCTAGAAAAGGGATAGTCAATCTAACTTTCATGAAATTTCTCATTCATCTACGCAGTTTTCGACTCATCTAGGCAATAAGAAGTTCAATTTATTGCTTTTAACCCAGGGAAATGTTAAATTACAGATACAAGTCTTTCAGAGACGGATGTGTTGCTGCAAAAGGTGTCTGACACCCTGTCTAACTCTCTGCCTGTTTCGTCATCCAATGAAATGCCAGTTTCTCCGGCTGAAACTAGACCAAAACTAACAAATGTCTCCAAAGAAACAGATCAGAAGAACCAAAATATCAACGAGAGCTCTGAGAAATTCATACAAAGCACCAGCACGCCAAATCTTATTGTAAATTCACAACAGGACACGTCTGACTACGTATCGGCAGCTGATGAGGACTTGTCTGTCGCTGAGTGGGAGTACCAGCTTCCAGCTCCTCCAAGTGCCTTCAGAGACAGTGCTTCTCCAGTGTTTGACAGCTTTGAAGCGATCACTCTTTCGCCCGAGTCCTTCAGAGACTCAGAGGTTCAAGAACCGATTGAGATTTCAAACTGTACAGATCACAAGAACACTTTAGAGAAAGTAGGGAAGCAAGAAAATAAGGAACAAGTGGTGAAAAAAGAGATTAAGAAAGAAATTCCGCAGAAAAAGACTTTCAAGCTTCAAAAATCAGAATTTGGCTTGAAGAAGGAAGTGATGAGCGAACTTGAGAATAAAATTGGCACTCTACCTCAGACTACAAAGGATGTAGACTCCAGGAGGGTATCGAATAACCCCTCCACTCTTAAAATAGCCCCTATAGACAACACTTTATCCAATTTCACCATTACAACATACAGTAGACAGAAGAGTCTGAACATATTTGAAGAGGTTCAGGGGCAATCTCAAAATAAGAGTTCAGATGAGAGGTTCATCAAGACGTTTGCAACATTGTCCAGGAACAGAAGCAATCTAGACGAGTCTGAAGACAAAGGTTCAAAGGATTGCAGTGGGGGAACGTTGCAAGGAAAGAAGAAAGTAACCGCAGTAGAAGAAAATGTGAATAACAAGAAGCTGGAACCAAAGATACAAGTGGAAACTATGCACAGGTGGCAGTCTAGCAATGAGAAGAGCAATATTCAGCGGTCCAAGAGCTACATGTCTGTGTGTGACAAACCTAACCTCCAAAAGAATAAGGTACAAGAGGAGGAGAGTGTTAAAAATGGAAGAAACTTGGAGATGGACAATATTAGCATGAAAAAGGCAACGAGCATTAGTAACTTGAACACAACTGCACCTAAGAATCACGAGAAATTCTCGCAATGGCGGGAGAACATTCTGAAGCGGCAAGAAGAACCTACCAAAGAGAAGCAACTGCAATCCATACAGGTAATTGACTTGAGATTCGAATGTATTGGGAATTTTTTTTAACCTCAAATTCTTCGCAGGTGCTGAAAAGCATTTTGCCGCAGTTGAAAAATGCTCAACAGGCGGAGGAAAATGTGCCCAAAGAATCGAGTGATACAGTATTACCTGAAGAAACGAGGTAAATTTTTAATTTCTTATAATTCAAGATTTTCTTTTTAATTTTCGTACTTTATTCAGGTCCGAGACTACATCTAACGAACATTCGACGAAATCGAATGCAGTTTCGCCCCGTGAGCCTCAGACAGCACCAAGCAACAAGAAAATAGAATCAGAGTCCAAAAAGACAGCCCCAGAGATGAATAAAAAACGTTACATTTACTCGGGTCCTCCTATGATCAATTTAGGCAGTTGGTCAGAACGACCAAGTGCGAATGTCCAGATTAAAAAGGATACAGATTACAAATTTGGAGCCAAACAGGGCAACAATAAAACAATTATCAATATAAACGACGCTAAGGACGAAGTGGATATTTCAAATAACACTGAAGCTTCCACAAAATTGCAGAAAAGTAAATTCGAGGCTTTAGTAGCTACAGACAGAAAGGAACCCAATGAATTGGCCAAAAAATTAATTACGCACACTACAGCTTCAGGTTTTAAAAAACCAGTGCTTAATAAAATCAATTTCCTAGAGGCAAAAACTAATAGTGACAAACCAGTTGTAACAGGGGTGGAACTTAAGAAAAGCTTCCTCGAGAACAAACAGGTTGACAGTATCGTAGACACCACTCCAATGAACTTCAAAGAGCTGACAAAGGCATTTGGTCAAGATGTCTGTCTGCGACAAAAGCCAAAGAGGACCAACGCTATTCAGTTAGAGAACGATTCCAGCAAACAGAATGGATACGCTAGTCCTGATCAGTGTTTAACGAATGGCTACCAAGAAATGTCTATGTCCAAGAGGTTCACCTCTATTGTGGGCATCCAGTCACAGAGTCAGAATAACCTAACATTCAGAAATGGCACTAATATGAAGGGTGGCCAACCTATGCCTGTTGTCAAGAACATCAAACTTCGAAATGCAAAGATCGATGGGGAGCAAAATCATATGACGAAGGAAGACAGTACGAAAGAAGTGTCTAAAGAGTCCACGCAACCCACAAGGCCTCCCACTATGCCTGTGATTACTGGTGTGACCTTGAAAAGCTCCAGACCAAAGTCAATGCCGCCCCAGGTGAATAGGAGGGACATTTTGCTGGAATCGATAAGAAATTTTGGCGGCCGCGAGAACTTAAAGAGCGTAAGCATTTTAACACTTTTTGGACCGCACGCTGCTGCACGTACGTAGCCTCGCTTCCCGTACAATATCAGAAAGTATCCCATTATGTTTCATAAACGGAAATTCATGTCCGGTCTAAAAAGTGTTAATATGAATTTTTTTTAAGTTTTTCGATAAAAAAATAGCTATTTGCAGTAACGAAAATTTATGGTTGCAGGCTACGGAAAGATGTTAAGTGCCTTCTGGAATTTATCCGAGATTCGTCCATTTTCCATTCGAGAACGATATTCGAACAATGGTAAGAACTGGGGGATCGAAGATGTACCATTCCTACGAAAACGTTTTGGTGCTTTAAATCATACAGCCTTAGTGTTAAAGAAATAAAATGGTCGACGATTATCGACAGAGGAGAGCATCAGAGTGAAAAGAAACTTGTTTATATATATATATTTTTTTCACAATTGCTCCATCGCTCTCTCGTCGTCAATTGTCCGACATAACCTCTCTGAGATCATTCCATTGACGGTTCGATGGCCCCGTAGTCTGTAAGAAGGGCCACGTTGGTCGCTCACGTGTAAATATCGTGTGTAAAAAGTCGAGACAACCGTACAAAAGAGTTGTCAATAAAAAAGAATCGATCCATAATGTACATATCGTTTAGGCGTGTAAAGCGATAAGGGGGAATGTTGTATTTTCGTGTCCAAATAGTCAACGAGCCTTGTTCAGGCTTGTTCTGAAACGTTGTTGCTCATTATATGACGCAGTCCACGCAATTCTTGTTAAGTTTTTTTCTTCTTTGTAATCAGTTCGTTCAGCCGTTCGGTTCTAATCTTGAAAAAAAGTTCGATGGTATGTATAGGTTAGGTCTGAACAGTTGAGTCAATCTTGACTAACACGTCCTATTTCTTTATGATTAACAGTTAAGTTTCTATCACTGGGACCAAAGGTGTGACATCTTTTATTTTACGTACTGTACAACGAATTTAGATGCAGTTAGGGTGTGTGTATTAATTATGAAAAGCAGTTATTTTTTTTTTCGTTTCGTTTTGAGAAAGAGGAAATCTGGTCAGTCGTATTAGGTCGAAGATATGTATGTGGAATGTGTGTTAAAGCGAAGTTCAATGGAATTTAGATAACATGTGTTCGCATATAAGACAACGAAGACAATTATTTAACGATCATCTTCCATTTTTTTTTTTTTGCATTTACATCGTTTACTGTTAATTTAAGAAAGAAAAAAAGAAAATAAAAAATGATTCACTAAAGATATTTTTTGCAGATAGTGTAACGAAGGTTTAATAATTTGTATTTTGTTAATACATTCTTTTTTTTAACAATCATTTTTGGCGAATAGTAAATTCAATTAATAAATTGAGGTTATGTATTTGTGTTATGGATCACGATCATTGAGAAATATTTTTACAGCAAGTGG